CGTTATCCCCAAGAGTGTGAGAATCGTGCGGAGTTTGCTCCCGCGAAGCACAGAAAATGCTGAGATGAGATTTTCTAATATTTGCATGTTTATCTTCTCTATGTATGACGAATTGCATCAATGGGAGCCATTTTGGCGGCTTGGCTGGCGGGATAGTCACCGAAGAAGATGCCTATCACCGCACTCGCGCCAAAAGACATCATCGCTATCACACCCGCAATACCGATCGTTATTCCCAAGAGTGTGAGAACCGTACGGAGTTTGCTTCCGCGAAGCACAGAAAACGCTGAGATAAGATTTTCAAGGGCGTTCATTTCTACTCTTTTTGGCGTAGTGTTTGTTCAGGATTTAGGTATAGATTGGACAAAAACTTTTGATTGCATCAATTCCCAAGGTATGCTAAACTTTTTAATATTATAGGATGGAGAGAACTCGCGAATCTTTACCCTTTCGTTGGTGTTAAAAGTATACCACAAACGTTTAAGCGTTGCAAATCTTTTAGGTTAAAATTAGGAGCGGAAAGTTGTGCAGACGGTTCCTTTTGACGCGGGAAGCACGCTGTTGTGGCGCGGGTCACAAGAAGCAGCGGTACATCGATCAGAATTAACCCATTTGTTGCGACGCGGGGAACGCGCATGGGTTTCGCTACCGTCTGCGTTGTTGGAAACGCGGTATCAATTGAACGCCGTAGAACAGTCCTTTGGCGACACAGAAACAACGACAGCGATTCAAGCGAAACTTCGCCAATCTCATCGGCAGAACGGAGCGGAATACAATCAGCACTACTTAATTGCGCAACCGCACGCCGATGTCCCCTGCTATAATATCAGCGAGTATGTTGAGCGATGCGTAGCAGGCGACCTCGCAATTGCAGAACGGCTTCGCGGACGAACGGTGATTCACCTTTACCAGACCGAAGCGGCAGCGGAAGATCTTTTGAACAGCACCGGAGTTTCAAGGTTCGTGAAACGCGTGCTGGTAGACTATTTAAAGACCTACGGCAAGAAGCACCTTATCGGTTTTACCTGTGAACTACCCGAAGTTTTTGTCTTTAGCAAGCGTTCTGGGAACTGGCACAACCTCAGTGCCGTGGAGTCCTACACTTTTAGAAACGACTGAGGAGACACTTACAACACATCTGCCCTTAGTTTTCTACGAAACTTACAACTCGGCAGCCGTCAGGAACACATTTTGGAGCGAATTGACAACGCGATTCGCAACCTGTTTTCTTAGAGGTGTACGTGATTTCTGTCATCAGGAACGGCTACAGTTTGCTTTAAGTCTCCGTGCGAGTGCAAAGGCACTGGAGTTTGAGTTAGGGGCAATGCTGGCACAAGTGGACTGTCCTATCCTAAACGCCACCGAAATAGATACACCGAAACGACTCGTCATTGCGAAATGGGTCTGTAGCGATACACAGTATGCCGGTATTTCACGAAAGGCATCCCAGAAAACGGACAAACGGACAGTGCTTGAAGAGGCGAGCCTCGGTTTTAATCTGTGGATACATAGCGATCAGACGACAGCCCCGAAATCCTCTACGCTAACGCAAAAATTATCACGCGGTTATCCAAAAAGACCGCTCCTTATGGTCGCACCGACACAGAGCCTCTGGACGAAACCTGATGAGAAGCAGTGGAAAGGATTGACGAAAGCGTGGGGATGGTTGTGTCAAAACGTCTCGGAATTGGGCTACGACTTCAGGATTGTCTCGGAGCAGGAACTGGGTTCAGCAGAAATATCGCAAGCCTATAGAGGCTTGCCGGGCAATGCCGGCGGCACAGGAAAACGGGACAATAGGAGCGGTGGACTCAGTTTCCCGAACGACCAAGCAGACATCAAGGAGATTTATAACGTTATTCTGCTTCCGAGTTGTGTCTCACTTCAAGAAGAGACTGTCAAGTGTCTGCGCGCATTCACAAAAGCGAAGGGGAGATTGATAGCAGACGATCCGATTCCGTATTTGCTCAATGGAAGGATTGGACTTGAACCGTATCCACTGGAACACCTTATCTACGGACGGCGGACAACTATTCTACGAGCTCCGAAAAACGAGAAGATAGCGAAACTCGAAAAATGTCTCCGAAAATGGGTGAGTTGTCCCGTATCGGTATACATGAAACCCAACAACGAGGAGACGAATGTCGTTCAAGTACACCACCGGGTAGCGGAAGAATACGAACTTTTTTATCTTTTCAACAGAGGCACAGAATCGATTGATGCCTTGATTGAGATACAGGGTAAGGCATCCCACGTTACGGAATGGGATTTGTTTAAGGGAACGGAAGAGATTGTTGATTTTTGGCACGCGAATGGAAGGACATACCTCAATAGTACGTTTACAGTCAAACAGGGACGGCTTTTTGAGGTTACGTAAAATTGGAAGTCGCTTCTCATGTTAACACTATGAAAGGAGTCATTATGACGGGTGGAGATTTTTTGGTCGAGTGTTTGAAGGCACAAGGTGTCAGTGTCATTTTCGGTTTGCCGGGCAACCATTTAGACACTGTTTATGAATCGTTATACAACAATCAAGACAGCATCCAACACTATGTCACACGGCACGAAGGCGGTGCATCATTTATGGCGGATGGTTACGCCCGCGCGACAGGCGATGTTGGTGTCTGTATGACCGTCCCGGGTCCCGGTTCAAACAACGCCTCTATCGGTATCGGTGAGGCAAATACAGCGTCTTCGCCGGTGCTTTGGATTACAGGGCAGAACCCATCCCACTTGGCATCACGGGATCCGAAGAAGAGTTTTCACGGATTGGATCAGAAAGCTGCCTTCAGCACGATGACGAAACATCTGGAAATTGTGCATCGGGTAGACCAGATTCCGGGTGCCATCAATCGGAGTTTTAGTGCCTTACGTTCAGGTAGACCTGGACCTGTGCTGATCGAGTTGGCAAAAGATGCGTTGGATGCCGAAGCCGACTTTCCAATCCTGCCACGGAACAACGGTATTCAGACGACCGCAAGTCCACAAGATATAGATGCGGCGCTGGCATTGTTGAGCACCTCAGAACGTCCATTTATTATCGCAGGTGGTGGTATTAACCATACACGCGCAACCGCAGAAATACTTGAGTTCGCCGAGTTGCTGGACGCACCAATCGTAATGACAGGTTTTGGCAAAGGTTCGGTCCCGGAAGACTCACCGCATTCCATCGGTATCTTCCGAGACGGCGTTGCCCAAGCGGCGATGGACGCGTCTGATCTCATAGTTGCCGTCGGTACTCGGTTCAACTATCGTGATACCGGCAACTGGAGCCTCAAGATCCCGCAGCCACTGTTGCATATCGAAGCAGACCCGGAGGAAATTCACAAAGAATATCCTGCGACTGTTGGCATCGGTGCGAATCCGAAATTGGTTTTACGCCAGTTGAACGCCGCACTCCGCGACGAGAAACCGAAAGGTGGTTGGGGGGAAGGTTTACGCGAATTACGCCGACGATGGACGGCGATTGAACGTCCTCGGATCCTCCAAGAGATGCGCGATGTGATGCCTCGCGATGCAATCTTGTCTGTTGATGTCAATATCACTGGTTATGGTGCGCTGCCACATTTTCCGTGCTATCACCCAGGGACTTACATCTTCTCCGGTGTATCTGTTGCGATGGGAATCGGATTGACAGGTGCTATCGGTGCACAGGTTGCTTATCCAGAACGGAAAGTCGTCGCGCTGAGTGGGGACGGTGGATTCTTAATGACCTGCCCGGATCTGGCAACCGCGGTAATGTATAACCTACCCGTTGTGACGCTTGTCATGAACGACAACCAGTACACTTCAATCGAACGCGGGCAACTCCGCCGCTTTGGCAAACGGATCGGTGTTGAACTCGTCAACCCGGACTTCGTGCAGTTTGCGGAATCGTTCGGTGCCATTGGGTTACGTGTCGAAGATCCAAGTGATTTTAAACCGACATTTGAAAAAGCACTCGCTCTGGATAAACCGGTTCTCGTGGAAGTTGTCAAGTAGTCTTGCCACTACCTCAGAGGCATTCAGTTCTCCTGTAGGAGGGAACTCCGATTCCCGACTCTTGCTGACTGCTGATAGCTATTGTAGGAGGGAACTCCGATTCCTGCTGACTGCTGACTGCTATTGTAGGAGGGAACTCCGATTCCCGACACGCCACTGACGGCGCAGACGACAGCGGACAATGGAATAAAAAATACATAAATAATAAAGGAGTTTGATATGGCAAAAAAGATCGGTGTTCTGACAGGTGGAGGCGACACAAGTGCTCTTAATGCCACCCTTAAAGGCATTGCGTTGAAAGCCGAGGAACTCGGTTTTGAACTCATCGGATTCATGGAAGGGTGGCGTGGTGTCTTGAAAGGTGGACGTTACTTTACGCTAACGCCTGACCTGATTGATGAAAACCGGGGTGGGACGCTGTTAAAGAGCTCACGCACGAACCTGATTAAAGATGGCAAATTAGATGAAGCAGTCAGCAATCTGAAAAAACTCGACATCAGCGGTCTTATTCCGATAGGTGGCGATGATACTTTAACAGTCGGGACGGCGCTGTCGGATCAATTCACAACCACGTTCGTCACCAAAACAATTGATAACGACGTGGGTGTTAATCCGCCCGAAGGTGATGCCGTCGATTACTCTAAGATGGTGAACTATTTCTGTCCCGGCTTCCCTTCATCAGCGAACAGTGTCATCAACGCCGTCCGAGATCTACGGACGACTACCTACTCCCATGATCGTGTGATTGTTGTCGAAGCGATGGGAAGAGATGCGGGTTGGTTGACGTTATCAGCCGCCTATGGACAAGCGGATCTTATCGTTGTCCCAGAAGTGCCGTATCAACCGGAAAACTGGCGGAAGCGATTCGCGAAAAACACGCAGAACAAGGCAACGTCATCGTTGTCGTATCAGAGGGTATCCGAAATGACGCTGGAGAACTGATGATTACCTCACAGGCGGAACTCGATGCCTTTGGGCATACGAAACCGGGGGGTTGTTCAGAAATTATCGTTGAGGCGATGAAGAAACTCCTTCCCGAAATTTCGAGTTCAGCGTTTCGCGCCTTGATACTCGGCTATCTCCAGAGATGCGGTAGCCCGATTCCGATGGATAAAGACATCGCTATGAAGGCAGGCGCGATGGCGGTGCAGGCACTCTCAGACGGCATGTTCAATGGCGTTGCGACTATTACGCGGACGGAGGCTGGCATTGAACCGACCCTGTTACCTTTAGGACAGGTGCTAAAGCGGGATGCGTCCGGACATGTGATTCGGAGAAGTCTCGATCTACGGTTCTACGACGCCGAACGGTATCAGATGTCTCCGGCGGGTGCTGGGTATTTCCGTCCGCTGTTCGGCGACTTGCCACGTTCGGAGCGGTCATTGGACGATCGATTGATTGAGATTGGTGAGATTGGGTGATAACCCGATATTTTCGATAAATGTAGGCGCGGTTTTAAACCGCGCCTTTAATTTTGGGTGTAAATGCTTTTTCCTTCACCATAGTAAGAATCGTAGATGTGCTGATAAACCGCCTCAGATTTTCTGATTGAACAGTTCGGGTGTGTAAGGTTGGGGCAATTCATCATCAAGTATATTGCTAACAGTTTCTTTGACTTCAGCTTTCGACTGTGTCCATTTACGCCAATCCAGCACCAATTTTTCCTGCTTTGAGTCGTCTCAAGCAATCTCCTCACAGCAGTCTTCACTTCATCTCTTTCAGGAACAGTTAGATGCGGTTCATGTCGCGTCAACAGATCAAACACCGCTAATTCCTCTTCAGAAAACTCTTCAGTACCGGCGCGTTGGTCTTCTTGGTGGAGCTCGCTAGCAAAGTTAAAAAGCCCCTCAACGAAATCATCAACACCAATAGTGCCTGCATTGTATTCCGAGATCATCTGCTCAAATTTCTGTTGATAATCCATCCGATTTCTGTTGAGGCGGATCATAGCGGCGAGTTTGCCATTGATCGCGCCTCTGAGTCTCTCCGCTTCGATACGCTTGTGTTCCGATCTGAATTGCTCACTTAGCTGATCGAAGTCAATTTGGCTCAAATCTACCTGATTCATATTGTAACTGTCAGGCGGTATCTGAATAAGATAGCCTCAGGTGCGATTGACTGATTCAGCAGACTTTCAACTCCTGTCATTACACCAGAGATGTCAGCGGGTGTTGTCAAGTTTTTGATTTTCTGTGCGATGATATTGATAAGTTGGCAGATTCTGATAAACTCATGCACATCGCGGTCGGGCAGAATCGCTTTGTATAGTTTCGTGACACCGGTGGCGTATTGTAGATAATTCTTTTTGGTTTCATCATTAACCAAGATGCGTTCCATTGCATCATTGATTTGGCTGATGTTTTTCCAAGCGTCATCCGTTTCGGATTTCGCTAAGTCAACGCCGAGACTTTCGCAAAATTCGGTGATTTCAGCGATCGCCTCTCTGAGTTTTTCAACCAGTTTCGACTTATCCGCAATCGGTTTCTGGTTTCCTTCCGCATCGGCACCGGTAGCATAAATCGCCAATGCTCTTTCAAGATAACGGAAAACGCCGATGTAGTCAACAATCAAACCGTTATTTTTATCACCAAAGACACGGTTGGCTCTGGCAATCGTCTGCATCAAAGTATGGTTTCGCTGAGGCTTGTCAAGATAGATAGTGGAGCAAGAAGGCACGTCGAAACCTGTGATCCACATTGCACAGACGAAGACAATTCGGAAGGGGTCATCTGAATCCTTGAATTTGGTATCTAAATCCTCAGTGTTCGCACGGGCGCGGTGGCGCGTGATGTCAACCCCTTTCTGTCTGAGGTCGTCAATCTCGTTTTGTCCCGGAGAAACGACGACTGCCATATCAGTCTCCTCCATGTAGCGAATCCTTTTCTCTAAGAAGATCCGTTCGCTACCGGTCTGTGTGGTTATCTCGGATTTTAGACGCTCAGTGTACCGCTTCCAATGCTTCTGAACCTTGTCATACATCTTGACAGCAGTCGCTTTGTCAATTGAAATGACCATCGCTTTCCCCTGATAGCCTCTGCCCATAAAGTGAGCGACTATATCTTTGGCGATGGTCTCTAACCGCTCATCTCGCGTGATGAGGTGATACTCTCTGGCAAACTCATGTTCCAGCTTCGTCTCTTGTGCCTCATCCAGCTCGGCATTTTCCAGAACCTGTTCGAGGTCTTCGTTGAGGTTCTCGTTCGTCAGTTGTAGGGTTGGCACACGGTTTTCATAGTAGAGCGGCACGGTTGCGCGATCCACGATAGATTGGTTGAAGTCGTAAACACTCACGTAGTCCCCGAACACTGATTTTGTCTTTTCCTCGCCAGCCATGAGCGGCGTTCCGGTAAACGCGATGAATGCAGCCTTCGGGAGTGCGGTGCGCATGTTCAAGGCGAGTGTATGATACTGACTCCGGTGTGCTTCATCGGTGATGACGACGATGTCTGACCTCTCTGAGAGAACAGGGTGCCGCTCGCTACCTTGCGTCTGGAACTTGTGGATAAGGGTGAAGATATAACGATGGTCTTCGGCGAGGAGTTGGCGTAGATGAACAACACTTTCCGCATGCACTTCCTGCTGCGTCAGGACACCACTTGTGCTCGCGAAGGTTTTATAGATTTGGTTATCCAGCTCCTTGCGATCGGTCACAATAACAAATGTCCAATTTCCCGGCACCTTTCTAAGCACTTTTTGCGCAAAGAAGAGCATTGAGATGCTTTTTCCGCTACCTGCGTATGCCAAAAGACACCAAGCTTACCTTGATTATCTTCAATCTGATTCAGGGATGCGATCGTGTTGTTGACACCAAGATATTGATGGTTTTTGGCGAGAATTTTGATTAACCCGCCTTGTGCTTCCATAAATAGGATAAAGTTCTCAACGACATCAAGTAACCGCTTGGGTGTGCAGAGTGCTTGCAGGATCGTCTCTAAAGAGACCTTGGAGATTCATCCTCACTGTGAACGCGTTTCCACTCGGCGAAATGCTCCCAACTGGCGGTGAAGCTTCCGACCTTGCTGTCTGTGCCGTTAGAGAGCAGAATGAAGGCGTTATACCAAAAGAGGTGTGGGATGGTGTCTTTGTAGTCCCTGAGATTGTCATTATAGGCATCGTGAAGGTTGACATCAATCCGCTTGAACTCCATCAGCACTAAAGGAATCCCATTGACGAAGCAGATGAGATCCGGACGTTTGGTATACATCTCACCCGTGACCGAGAATTGAGATGCGGCAAAGAAATCGTTATTCTCTGGATTTTCCCAGTCAATTACCTCAAGCACTTCGGGGTTCTCATCTTCGTCGATCGGATCGCTGGTAGTGACCTTTACGCCATCTTTCAGGAGGGTGTAGATTTCGCGGTTGGCTTCAACACTGCTCATAAGGGAACGGGAGCGGGTGAGCTCCTCGATTGCCTTGGTGATGGCATCTTGGGTAGCAGTGGGATTGAGGCGTTCTAATGCAGCGTGAAGGCGAGCGGTTAGGACAACTTCGGATTTTGTTTGCCTGCCGAGGGGACTTCCATCACTCTGATCGAATTCAC